CTGTGGAACAGTCACGGGGGCCCCGGAGCCCACGTTGCCAGGACCCGGAATATATTGAAGGGAGCATACATACATACATACATACATATATAAATAAATATACTAATACACAGGGTACGCGGTACGGGTCCTAACACGCGCCGTCCGCCGCTTAATTTGGTACCACCCCAACCCCTGCGCCGCACAGACCACGTCTGCCATGCCCCTCTTCTAACGTCGCAACCGCAGTCGGAACGGTCGCCAACCACGTCCCTTTGCCTTCCCTCTTCCGTCGGCTCTCTCCCGCGTCCGAGAGGGCAACCCTCCTTCTTGGTCGCCCCTCCTTCCCTTCCTCCCCCCTCTCACATCCGCGGTGCGCTCCAGCTTGCCGTCCCTGCCCTGGAGAGCTACCTGCTTGGCGGCCAGGTCCGAATCCAACGCCGGCTTGCCATGCAGGCCCGCAACTTCTCCGACCGCCTTGCCTGCTGGCGGCCGCTGGCCCGGGGCCTTCCAGCCTCGGAGCTTGGCGTTGTGCGCAGCTGCCACTGCTGCCGCCGCAGCCGCCCGGCTCGCGCTGACCGACGCCGACACTACCGGGGCGGTGCCATGCGGCGGCAACGGCGCCACCCCATTTGCAGTACCGCCCTCCAGCTTGACCGTCGGCATGACGGCGCCTACAGCGCCAGCGGGATGAGGTTGCGGGAGCTGGGGCTGCGCCACGGGTTGGGGTTGCGGCTGCGGCTGCTGCGGTGTCGTCGTCGTCATCATGGGTCGTACAACCGCGGAGTTGTCGGCCGCGGCAGCGCCCTGCGCTGCCCCGCCGGTGACCTCCGTCCCCGTCCCGGTCCCTCCCGCTGCTACGGTACCCGCGGCCGTCACGGCAGCGGCCGGCTGCGCCGGGCGCCGAGCATTGCCCTCCAGGGAGGATAGCACGGCACTCATGAGCTTCAGCGATGCCGTGCTGATGGGCAGGTTGCCGTACTCTGGCGAGTTGGGGTCGACAGTGCAGCGGTCGTAGGCCTCCTGTAAGATGCGTTTGGAGCGGTGGGCCTTCCCCTCGGCGCCCTGCTGCTCCGCGACCTTGGTGTACTTGTCCAAGTGTATCCGCAGCAGCTGCAGCCGGGTCTTCAGCGCGCCAATGATGCGCCAGTAGTCCTCCACCATGACGGGAGTCACATCCGCCAAGATCGGGACGTGGCCGCTGCCGGGCGGGGTCGCAGCGGGAGCAGCGGAGATAGGTGGGGCTGTCGGGGCAGCCAGCGCCGGCACCGCCGCAGGAGCGGCAGAGGTGGCGGCCTGTTGGGGGACTGGCATGGTGCCCGCCGGCATGGTGGCAGACGCGGCACCAGGTGGTGGCTGTGGCTGCGGGGCCCCCGCTGGCCCTGGCGCCGGAACACCTGGCACACCGATAGGTTGGGAGGACAGCCCCCCAACCGCGGGTACGCCGCCATACGCACCCGCAACAGAGCTCATCGCCGGTACGGCAGTGGCTGGTTGCGGTTGTTGTGGTTGTTGGGGTGGTTGCTGTGTCACCAAGTTGGGTGCTCCTGGAATGCCCGTGCCAGGCACTGCTCCGGTACGCGCCATCTGGGCGGCTGCTGCCGCCGCGGCCGCAGCTGCCGCGGGCCCTACGGACATAGGAGTCGCTTTGCGCGTAGCCGCTGCGGCGGCTGCAGCTGCGGCAGCCGCTGCGGACCCCGCATTAACAGCGCCCTGAGGTGGCATGCTCCCGGATGCGACGCGCCCTATCATCTGTGCTGCTTGCTGTTGCTGCTGTTGTTGATGTTGCTGTTGCGCGGCAGCTGCAGCAGCCACCTGCTGCTGCTGGGCATGCTGCTGCTGTTGTTGCTGGTGCGCCACTTGCGCGGCCGCAGCAACCGCCGCCGGGTGTTGCGCCATCAGCTGGTGCTGCTGACTCATCTGCGCATAGGACATGTCCTGTTGCTGAGCTGGCGGCATACCGTACGGCATCTGAGCCCCCGACGCGCCGCCTGCGGCGTGAGGATGCGCCTGCGCCGCCTGCTGCGGCGGCATCATGGCCATGGGACCTCCCGGCCCCCCCCCACCAACCGCCATCGCCATGCCCACGCCAGGGTGCTGTTGGTGCTGCTGTGGCAACTGGCCCATCATCGCCGGCACCGGCTGGCCTGGCAGGACCATCATGCCGCCTGGGCCGTGCTGCGTGGCTGTGCCAGACTGCACAGGCACGCCCCCGCCGTACATACCCGCCATGGTCTGCTCCACGGCCATGGTCCCGGCCGGCCCCATCGCACCTCCAGACCCGGGGGTCACTCCAGAGGGGCCATGAGCGGCCAGGACGCCACCCCCGGGCTGGGGCTGAGGAAAGGCGGCCTGAGGACCGCCCGCCCGAGACGCCATCTGCACTCCCATTTGCGGCGCGCCCATGCCCTGCGGGTAGCCCTGCACAGAAACCCGGGCGGAACCAGCGCTGATATGGATTTCGATGAGCTCTCTAGGCAGCCGCAGAGCCGTATGCAGGCAGGCAATCAGCTCCAGGGCACATGAAAGACAGGAAGGAGCAACGTGATGCAGATGACGGTGGGAGGCGCTTCACCCCATGAGCACTGCGTTTGCAAACAAGCGGGTTCCGGCCTACATGGCCGGCTGGCCGATGCCAGGGGCGCCCCTACACCCAGGACAGCCTTGGATAGCTACCCCCCAGCTGCCCGCGGCTCCGCCAGCCCACCCTAATACGAAAACCAACCGCCTACCGGCGGCATGGAGCCCATTTGGCCTGCATGGGGTGTCGGCATCCCTGCCATTTTGCCCGCCATATGCATCTGCTGCGCCGCTGCCGCCGTCGCAGGCGACGGCCTCCCCACTTGCCCAGTCTGCTGTTGTTGCTGAGCCACCCCTGCCGCCGTTTGCTGCGTGTACGCAACGCCCTGCTGCTGCTGCTGCTGTGGCGCATAGAGCGACTGGCCCATCTGCGGTGGGGGCTGTTGCTGCTGCGGAGGTTGTGGCTGCTGCGAAGGTGCAAAGAAGGTGCCTAAAAAGTCGTTGAAGTCATCGCCTTGCTCCATGGCGCCAGGCTCCTGGGCGGCCATAACCGGCTCCGCTTCCAGCGGCGGAGCCCGCACCTGCGGGAGGAGCAACCCCGCACCGCACGGGCCACTCAAACACGTCACCTACCGCATGATATACGCAGTATAGAGGCAGTTAAGCGGCCAGGAAGGCCACGCTCTTGCTAAGACAGCTGTAAAGGTAACGGAGGAAGGTGTGTGACGTAAAGCTCCAGCGTGCTTTCAAAAGATATCACACTACTAGGACAGCGTAGTACAAGCAAGGATCCGTCCTCCGCATATCCCGGCAAATCGGAGCCCTGCTTGCACCGGACCGGACGTCACCTAGAAGGATGGTGCGCCACTTTTAAGGGCCGGGAACGTATATAACATGTTGTGCCGTGTCGTGATAAGCAAGTGGGAAGTGCATGCCGTTGGTGGCGGGCCTGATTGTCGGTTGCAACTATGCTGGAATTGGGGCATGATGACCCTGTCTATCCTCCTCTCGCCCTCACCCTTCTGACCTGTGGGTGCGGTGGTTGCTGCAGCTGTGGCGGCGGCTGCATGCCGTGGGGGATACCAGCGGGTGGGAACTGGGGCTGCTGCGGGTGTTGGTGGAGCGGGTGCTGCTGCGCAGGGACCCCATGTCCTGCCAGTTTATGCTGCTCAGCGGCTAATTTCTGCTGCTGCTGTATGTGCCGCTGCTCCAGCAACTTCACGATGCCGTCCTTGCTGTTTTCAATCCTCTTCTTGAAGGCCAGGTAGTATGAGTTCTGTGCGGCATACGGCATGGGTAGGCATGGAAGTAGCTCGCGAGGAAAGGGCCCCGGGCCCTGAACCCTGGTTCCGGGTCCAAATCCCACACACCTGGTCCACGCATTTGCTAAACGCATCCTCCTCAGCCCTTTCAACGACCGTGGGAAGCCTAGCAGCAAACTTCGTGTTGCCAAACGCTTGCATCAAGATGTTCAACCTGCCAAGGAAGGGGTACGATCCTCTAAAAACGCAACCTAGCATACGGTTGCGTCGAGCTCCGACATACCCTTGTTGCCGCATCTTTGCACGCTCTTCAGGCGAAATATACGCCCGTGCGGGCGGAGGCCCGCCAGCACCCGCGTACATCCCTCCCGCGCCACGACAACTCCTAGCAAGTTAAGCTTGCATAAGAGAGCCGTTCGCTAGCCGCTGATCATGAGTGACTTTCGGTGACGGTGAGCTCGTTTTCCTTGTCCTTGAGACTTCCGCTGTACAGGAAATGGCTCAAATCAAAGCTGCTATGAGGTAGTTGAAAATGTCAACGTGAAGGCTTTGAAGCAACAAGATCTGCACGGGTACAACCTCAGCGACCAGATTGCAGTTTTAAGGCCGTGCTGTACACTAATACAATCTGACGTTTGGCTAATGCAGCCACGCAAGTGCTTAACCTACCTTGTTTTGCATTGAACAGATACTTCATTGTGGTTGGCCATGTTGAGTAACCGATACCTGTGAAGTTAGGGTGCGGAATGACAGAAGACGACGGAGGCGCTTTCTCATTTCCTGTGTTAAACCAACCATCGGAGGCTCCCAAAAAGGTGGTTTACACAAACAATTGGGGCACGCAAGGGATTTCGTGCCCCTGCTCAGCTGTGTGGTTACAAGGTGGGCCTTCCGCTCGCAGATACCCTTGACTGCCTTTTCTACCGTGACGGACCGTTCGGGGGTTTCCGCCGAAAAACCTTCACCTCCGGTGAGGAACAGCTGCTGCCCACACCCTGGCAACCCTCCCGGCTTAACCGCTCTCTCCACAACCTCCAAAAAAAACCATGTTTCCAGGTGCCCATTTTCGAAAAGCCTGCCCGATCTAAGGTACGGAGAGGCGACACCAGGCTGCCGAGTCCACGATACGAATGTCTGCGCGCGTGTCCGCCGCTGTGGACGCGTTCAAATGCATTACAGTGCAGTAGCTGATCGAAGGCCCCATCAACCCACCCTTGGTGATCCTGCCAAGGTGCTGTACCGGTCTCTGCCTCGACCCATAACGCCTTCCCTCAGGTCCCGCTTGAGAAGGGCTACACACAGGTCGATTGGCTGCGGCTTTCTAAGTCCGGGACCGACCTGAATGGGTTGGGCGGCAAGGCGCTGCGGCGGGACATCACCTTGGAAGAGGTCAAGAAGCACCACACAGCAGATGATGCGTGGATGGTACTGCGCGGCAAGGTCTACAATATAGGGCCATACATGCGATTTCACCCCGGGGGCGCGGCCATTCTGCTGAAGGCCGCTGGCAAAGACGGCACGTCGCTGTTTATGAAATACCATCCCTGGGTGAATGCAGATGCGTTGCTAGAGAAGTGCCTCGTTGGGATGCTGTCGCAGGAGTAGGAGGAGAAACGTGGGAGGGTTTGGAAGGCTGTGCCGTAGTGAACCACGGCTTGGAGCTTTGGGAAGAGCGGTGATGCCATAGCTTGGAGCATCAGAGGAAGAGTGGAACTGAACATGCGGTGGGCGAGGTATGGAGTCCTTGGGCTGGCACTTCTTGCTAGGCCGAGCGGGACGCGCGCTGCGCACCTTGTTACTCCTAAGATTTATTGCCAGCTTAACAGCTGGCTTACGCCTGGCTGACTGCCTCGAGAGTTTCATTGGATCGACGGGGACTTCGCCCGGGCAGAGAGCTGGGGGAGCGCGGTTAATTGCTTCGAGGCTAGGAACGCATGCCTTCTGGCCGCCGCAAGGCTGTTGTCGAAATTCATCAGCCAGGCGAAGGCAGCAATCGCGTGGAACTATTTATTTTAGCATTCCCCAATCATTTTATCATTCGGGCTGCCTCTCTGGTATCCTTTCACTGCTGCTGTCGCCCCATACGGCGCTTTTAGGGCGCTGTGCCCTGTCCGGCCCCCTTCTCCTTCCTGGAGACTCCTGGCTAGTGTGCCCCAGAGGGCTTCAGAGCACCTAGGAGCTCGTGCACGGTTGATTTTGTGTCCTCTTCCCAAATCAGTTATCATCATCGTGGTTATTTACGCCCTTGCGCGGACAAAGAGCTGCTGGGTCCCTGATATGGACGCACTCTCAGTACCACCGCCACACTTCTAAGCAACCTCCTGCAACAACCTTAGCCGCAACCCCATGCAGCAAGAACCTTGTCCCTGCACTCAAGTGAAGCTCCCACAGAAAGAGCACTCAAGCTAGCCCGTCCTGTCAGTCTGCGCGCTTGCTCTCCTGCTTCCCGTCCCACCGCTCTCCAGCCGCTCCTTTTCTCGCTTCCGCTTCCGTTGTTTATCCTTGTCACGACGTCGATCTTGCTCTCGATCCCGGCCCTTGTCTTTCCCTTTATCCTTCCTCTTTCCTTTGCGGCCCTTCTTATCCTTGTCCCGGCTCCGAGTCTTGGAGCGCTTCGACGCCTTGCTACTCCGCTTGCCGAGAATGCTCCGTTGCCCGTCGCCGGCGGTCTCCATTCCTGTCGCCACTTCTCCCCGCTGGTGCTGCTGCCGCTGCAACAGCAGCTCTTGCTGCAAGGCCCGCAGCGTCAGGGCGCCTGGGGCGGCAGCTGCCATAGGTAGACCCAGCGAAGCGAGTGCCTATTGTAAGCCAGGGAAAGGCGGGGCCAGTTTTTAAGATGACGGCCGGTGTATGGCACTTCCCAGGTGACGGCTCAGGCAACGTCCCGTACGACGGCTTGACGGATACTTTCATCGCCCTGTCAACACCCCAGGCCCCGGCGGCCTCACCTGTTGAGTTGCAACAGCCGCCCGCAACCAAGCAGGAGCCACCGGCCCGCGGGTGGACCTGGGCATCGCGAGCGAGAACAGGAAGAACGGGGCCCGGTGGCTGGGGCTAGGGATCAGCATGCTGGCAGGGGACTAGTGGTCAGGAAAGCAGACAATGTAACACGAAGCCATTTGCATGCGAATCAGTACTCATGCAGGCAGGCAGGCAAGCTCATTCCTGTGAGGATGCGCTTGTGTACACACCAGAGGGGGGTTACCCGCACTGTGGACAACATCCGCGCGTAGGCTTGCCAGCCCACATGACGGCGCCCGTGTGGCGCGCTGGCAGCTGCTACTTGCATGACCACGACGCATGCAACAACCCACGGCACTCCAGCGCTCAGCAGCCCAACAGAAGCTAACATGGCCGGAGCTCCATGAGCCGAACAGCAATGCTATGCGTGGCTGTGGTGGAAGCTGTAGGTTGCACACTAACTAGGCTTGTTTTGGACATGAAAGTGGGGAAAAGTTCGCGAAAATCCTGTAGCCTTGACTCTCAGCCTGGAGGCCTTGGACGCGCAGCGCCCCGCACCTTCGCTCGGCGTCACCACCCGCCTCCTCCTCCACATCCTCGTCCGGCTCCGGTCCCACTGCATCCGCCTTGGAGCCCACCCCGCCGCGGCCGCGTACCCGGTAGCGTGACAGCATAGCTGCGATCTCTTCGTCCGTCATTATGTAAGTCCCGTCACCGTCGGCCCCGTCTTCACCGCCGCCGGGGCCACCGTCCCCTCGCCCATCAGCTCGGCCGCCATGGACCCCGGGGATATCACCCTCCACCTCGCGGTCCGGTTTGGACAACACATCGCCCCGCAGTCCGGCGCCACCGCGCCCGCCGCTGCCATCTTCGCCGCTGCTCCACTCGCCACCGGCGTCGCTGTTGTCGGTACTGGTGCTTGCACTACTGCCGCCGCTAGGCTGGGAGTCAACGCGGCCATCGTCGTCGCTGCTGCCATCCAACGCTGCACTGCCGTGTCGGGGTCCCGCCGAGCCGCCGCGGTGCGGCCCACCCTGCTGCCGGCATGCGTGGTGGTGCGAGTCATCCTGACTCCGCTGAGGTGACTCGGAACCAGATCTGGATCGAGGGAGTGACCTGGATCTGGATCTGGATCTGGACCAAGAAAGCGATCTGGAGCGTGGAAGCGAGGGGGCAGGTCGTGCATGGGCGTCATCACCACCGCTGGGTCGGATCGCCTGCAAATCCGAGGGAGCGGAAAAGGCACACGGAGTTCCGGAGGCGGCAGGAGGTCGCGGTTGAGTGAGAAGCGCAATAAGGGCGTTGCTCACAACATCACATCACACAACGTTACGGAGCTTAAGCTCTTGGGTGTCGTAACCCTACAGGTGACACGTCCCGCGGCCTCCCAGCCTGTCACGGCAGCACCGGCAGCTCTATTGCGTATTGCTGCTGTGCTGTCAACAGTGCTACAGCACCTAGGATGCAGCCTGCGTGGGGAGAGACGACCGGTTTCTCAGGCTGTACAGCCTCAGATGTACGGTCCGTAACCTCCCTGCCATGCCCCGGTCTGTACCGACGTCGTAAGGGTACAATCCAGACAGTTCCGGAAAGCCCTAACCAATATTAACACCGATCCCCGTAACTCGACAAACCTCGCGAGCTCTCCGTTTCGGGGAGCACCCAGGAGATCTGGATCTGGATCTCGTCCTCAACCTGGAACCTGACCGCGATGGAGTTGGCGACCTGGATGATCGTGATCCATAACGCGAGTACGACCTGGATCTGGATCGGGACCGCGACCGTGATCTGTGTCCAGCGCCGTCCCTCGTATGCCCACGACCGCCGGAACTCCTCTCCTCCTCGCGCCGCTCCCGGCCTCGCTCTCGCTCCGTCCCGGCCCCTGCCCCAGCCTCCCGGGCCTCCCTCCCCAGTTGTGCCTCCCGCAGCTCCCACATCTCCGCCTCCTCAACGCGCCGGTTGGCATTGCGCACCCCACGAAGCGTGTTCTGTGCAGTTCAGGTGCACATGACAGCTATTCCTTACGTGCGCCGCCCAGCAAGACTAAGCGAGGGTAGGTTGTGCGCGCTGTTACTGTCTACCCGAGAAGGCGCACTAATGCGCACTTGTGTTGCAAATGTTTCCGGAGAGGACTCTCATTCTCAAACGGAGCCCATACCCAGCCCGTCCGAGGCCTCGCCCACCTGCAGGAAGCGCTCGTTGAGGCGGCCGCGCACAGGCGGTCGGCGCAGGAAGGCAGTGACCCCATCCGTCTGGGACCGCTCCTGCAGCAACAGCGCTCGCTGCGTCAACAGCTGCGCCAGCAGCGCCTCATTGGGGTCCGCGGCGCGGCGCTGCGCCGCCTTGGCCGCCCGCTGGGCCATCCGTTGATAAAATGGAGGAAATGGAGGAAAGGGGCGGAGAAAGCCCTCTGCTGGGAATTCGTTGAAGTATCGCCAAGCACGACCTACGGCGCAGGACCTGGGAATGTTGCGAGGGAGCCGGAAGCAAAACCCTTGGCGGGCAGGATGCGCCGTACCGTGCACCCGACAAGTCGAGGACTATCACCACAACCCTGCTGCCAATATTATTCCGCGTTACACTTCCAGTTGGCGCCGTTGTTGTTGTTGCTGCTGCTTATGTCCGTGCTGTTGTGAAACCTGTCTGTTACCTTGCTGCTGCCGCTGCTGCCGCTGCTGCTGCTGGTGGAACCAATTGGAACCTCCTACAGTACTGATGGCTTTCCGGCTGTGTACGTGTGTGCTTAGGGCGAGGAGGAGGGCCCCCTGCCAGGTTGTTTCGTTGGCCAACTCCTCAGCCCCTGGCGGACGACTCCACTAGCACCTGGAACGGCATATGCAGGTATGCGGATAACAGCAGCAGCAGCAGCGGCACGACCAGAGAGGGATACAGGCGAACCGGATCGACGCAGGCACCACGGGACCCGAGCAGTATGGAAGCCGAAGCGGCGGATGGACGCGGAACAGCATCCTGGACTAGCAGAGGGCACCATAGCAAGAACTCTAAAAGCATCCCACCGTTGGCAAGTGGCAACCGATCTGTTCTGGCAGGAACACGGTGAGGCCCGTATAACAGCTGCGACGTCCACGTAGATGTAGATGTGTAGTAACTCAATTACCATCCACTCTAAACCTACTAAGTCTTTAAATCCACCCGCTGATCCACCCGCCTGGCCACTTGCCGCAGATCCGTCCCTGAAAGCCACCATGTTTCCATCGTGCCAGTCCATTTTGTTCCGCCCAGCCAACCCTAGGTGCACCTGCATATTCAGGCAGCCCGGCACGCACACCGTCTTGAGCGGCTGCCCCGTAATAGGCTGTCGCAGCTCCAGGCCTCCGCCGCTCTCCTCCCCAAAGTACTGCGTATCCACACCCGCACGGGAGGTGCTGTACGCCACCAGCTCAAATGTGCAGCCTGGGCAAGAGCAAGGGATAGAAGAGGCAACAGAAGGGAAAGAATTGCCAGGATGGAGCCAGGCAGGGGCTCAGCTGGTGATATGGGGCGGGAGCAGACTGGTGCGGCACGTGGAGTAAGAATGGATCTTCCGGCGAGCAGTCTCTTCAGCTGTTTCTGGGCCATTGGACCCGGGAGTGCTTCATGGACCCGTGTGCGTACCACCCGACGCCCTGATAAGTGGTCGAGTTCAATTGCTTGACGTTGCAGAGGTGTTTACACGCGCATCGATCTACTCACCCTGAGGCAGGGGCTTTAGAAGGCTGTCAATAAACTGAAGCTTCAGTAGGGCTGACCCCAGGCCAGCCTCAAACGCCCCCACGTCGATTTGCTGCTGCTGCTGCGGCTGCTGCTGATGACCTGCGCCTGCCCCGCCAGCGGTAAGTGGAAGCAGAAGCTGCGGCAGACCAAGGGCGGAACAGGAAAATAAATCCATGACTGGGAAAGCATGGAATGGGGTCTCGTAATTTCTAACAGGATAAGTTCGTGATATGGTGTGCCTTTTAGAAAGATAGAGGAAGTCACGGGGAGATGGCTGCAAGGGCAGCGTGAGCAGTACAGAGGCCGGCTACGGGCCAGCATTCTGACCGTGAAGACAAACAAAGGCCTTCTCACCAGGAGCATGTCTCCCAGTTCAATGGCAGTTAAGACAGAAACACACTGCGCCTGACCCACTGCCTAGGTTGAATCCCGTGCCGGACGGGTTTCCCCTGGCTTGCCTGTGTGGCAAAGGTCACCCGTTCAAGGGCTCGCCCCTTGGCATCCAGGAATACGACGGCCAGCTCCCGCAAGTGTCCAGATTCCAAGAGGGGCTGAAGGTACAACCGTTGGCAGAGGGCCGGGACCGCGTTTGCAGGTGTATTAATGCGTGCTGGAAGCCCTGATGGGATAATTTGGCACCGAGACTAACCCGAAGCCTGCTGATAGTCGAGGAAATGTAGCTGTTGAGCTCTGGGTGGCGTGAGCGCCTTGTGAAGGTGTTAAAAGCACGGCAGCGCTCAAACGCGTCTTTATGGTATAGGTTACGGGTGTACAAGATCGTATGAACAGCTACCTCAAGGAATTCAAGCAAGCAGGTCACAAAATTGGAGTGGATGTTGTTTGGCATCCGTTATGCGTGAGCTTGAGCATAAGCCTCTTGTATATACAGATTACGTTAAAGAACAAAATCATAATATCACCCTTGGAATTAGCGCGCATGAAACCCTTAACCAAAGCACGAATCCCGTATAACGACGCATACAAGCCGTGAATATCTTACAGAAGGCCTAATAACCAAGCTTATGTTCTTTTCCAAATATTAAGTAGCCCGTTTTGACTAGAGTATAGCTCGTAGCTGTGCTACCGCCCCTAGGGGCTTCTGGCTGCTGTTGCAACCCGACAGCCATGTTTGCAAAGCTCACCGCCCTTGTGGGCGGTGGCTATACGTTTCCTTATGTAATAGAGGAACCGTATGATAGCGCCTGGGGCCAGTGGACCCACTATCGGGGAAAATCGAAGGAAGACAACTCACCTGTCTCCATCTTCAAGATAAGCGCTACTGATCCTAATGATCGAAAGCTCGTCTGTGCACGTAACGGCGTCAAGCGCCTCAAGATGGTACGCAGTTTGGAGCGCCTCGTCACCTAGGTTCGCCTTTCTTATGTGATCACTTCACGATGCGACCAAATGCAATTTAGTGCCATGGCGTCAATAGGTGACTAACCATGCACTAATAAGCGGACAGTCCTTGAAGGCCTGGACTCCGTGTCTAAACCGTTCGCACACTAACCGCTCACACGCGAACCGGCTTCCCTATGTCCGCCAGTTGCGCCATCCCAATATCCTGGCTTTCAAGGATAGCTCGGAGACGACTGAAAAGGGCGCGACTGCAATTATGCTGGTTACGGAGCCCGTCAAGCCCTTGAAGGATGTCTTGAAGGAGCTGGAACTGGAGGGGCAGCACAGGTGGGAGGCAGCCCCAGAACGGTGGGATACTTTTAGCATGTGATGAGGGGAAGATGTGGAGGGAAAGTCCCGAGATGTCCCCGCCTCTCATACAAAACCCCAAGACCTCCCAAAGCCAGTTCAAGCCTGTGCAGCCACCGGCACACGGCTGTAGGCCTTTGCGCTCCTGGGCTCAGCCGCTGCAGCTCTTGTGCCAGCTGAGATACGGTGACACAACGAGCGGCTTGGCGCCTGATAGCAGTTCTCAAGTTTCTGGGCCCTCACCCAGAGAGCCACCAACTGTGCCAAGCCGACGCTCTCCAGGCGTCGTCATTGCCATGGCTACAGATACCCACAGCAGGAAGCTGCTGCAGCACCGGCGAATGCGGAGGTGGCGTTAAGCCCAGGAGATGGAAAGCCTAGATCGCGGGTGTGAAGAGGGGCCACTAGGCGGAACGACAAACCCAGATGGCGAGGACCCAGATGGGATTCTCCGAGGGGGGCTCCAGGGATTGGACTCCTTCAGGGGTGGACTACGGCGTGTGCTCACACACATATGCGCCGGGGGCACCTTCTGGGTATTAGCCGAGTGTTGATTCAGGTTGCGACCCACTTGGCCTCCCCTCCTCATTTCCGGTGGTGGGCGCCCCCTTACCCCCTTTTACATGGCCCCCAGAGATGAGTACTTTGCAATGGGCATGCTGCACATCACCAACGCAGTGAGCTTCTTGAACAACGACTGCAAGTTGGTGCGTGGGTGGGTGGGTGCGTGGGTGGGTCATGGAGGCGGTCGGCATGCAAGGAACTATCTGGTATAGGTCTCTTATACCAACTCAGAGTACGATAGGAACAGTACGGAAGATGGCTCCGAAACCACTACTAGAACCAACTACCGCATATGCACCAGGCAGCAGACTGACCGGACATCACATTTACCTCTTAACACACTCTCCCCCGCCCCGCCCGCGCACCACCACGTCTTCCTGCAGATCCACGGCAACATCTGCATGGCCGCCGTAGTGGTAACGGCCTCCCTGGACTGGAAGCTGAGTGGGTTCGACCTGCTGAGCGAGCATTCACTGCCACCCGACCAGCAGCTGCAGAACAGTGCATGGATGGTGGGTGGCGGGCATGGATGGCGGCGGAGGAGAAGGGAGAGAGGGAGGGGGTCTCAGCTGGCCTGGGCTAAACACCCCCAACCCCCCGAGAGGGGAGACGGGGGACCTAGGGAGAGGACCCAAGGGAGGGAGGGGGGCAGGAAGGAGGCGGCATGGGTTTAAAGACGCGCGTCATGTCGCTTGGAGGGGGGGAACTGGGTGTCCTCTCCGCCTACACATGGCTCCGCGCCTGACACCAGCATCTCCTCCATCCCCCCAAACGCTGGCGGACCTTCTTGGCTCCCGACCTCACTCTGGCCTCACCATGCTGAGCGTACTTGTCCCTTAAATCTGCCTGCCTGCGCCCTCCCTGTTGCCCTTGCCGCCTGTTCTCCCGGCGGTGGTGGCGGTACCCTGCGGCGGCGGATGCAGGTGGGCAACCAGTACAAGCCGGCCGAGTTGGCTCGCTCCGAGTGGGAGGTCATCCGCCAGGGGCCCCCTTGGGCGGTGGACGCCTGGGGACTGGGCTGCCTCACACAGGAGGTCTTCAGCTGCACGGAGATGAGCAGCGTGGAGAACCTGAGGTGAAGTAGGCGGAGACGGGCGCCTTAGGGGACACACCCACCAAGGGTGGGGGGCCCTCAGCTGGGGTCCCAGGGAGGGGTCTGGGGCGGGGAGGGGGCCTCAGATACGACCCGCAGACGTGCCAGGGCTGGGGTTCCGGTAGGGTGCAGTTTTAGCCAGGCCTTTACTTAACCCGTGAACCCGTACCTTTTAGCACACCATCTTGCATGGCCCCTACAAACCCACCCAGCCACCCACCCACCGACTGACTGACACGCTTTCTCCCCTGCTCCCGCAGGCACACCGACCTGATCCCCCCTGCGCTGCTCCAGGACTACCAGAAGCTGCTCAGCTCTGCTCCCGCCCGGCGCCTCAACCCCGCCAAAGTGGCTCAGTCCCGTTTCCTGAACAACCGGCTCGTGGATGTGGTGGCCTTCATGGAGAACATTGCGGTCAAGGATAGCGTGGAGAAGGTGTGTGGGGGGGGGGAGGTAGCGGGGTGTAGGGTAAGGGAAGGAGGTCCTCATAACCGTGTTCCACTTTAACTCCTTCCTTCACATCGGCGCCCGCACACCCACACGTGATCCGACGCTCCCATCTCCCCAACCCCAGGAGTCCTTTTTCCGCCGGTTGCCCACCCTGCTGCCCGCCATCCCGGCCGCTGTGGCGGTGGGCAAGCTGCTGCCGCTGCTGTCCTCCGCGCTCGAATTCGGCGGTGCGCCCCCTCTGGCCGTGTCGTCTTTGATGGTCATTGGCGGCCACCTCAGTGGCGACGAGTTCAACAAGAGAGTGGTGCCCTGCCTGTCCAAGCTCTTCGCATCCGCGGGTGAGACGGCAGGGCGGGGGCGTGCCGTGCCGTGCCGCATCTTACCCCAGCTTAACCACTCATCACACCGACCCCAACACCTCCCCACCTACTCCGCCCCAACACGTGCTCCCCTTTCCCCCGCCGCTCTTGACGTACCCGCCCTCAGACCGGGGCCTTCGCCGGTCCCTGCTGGAGTCCATGGACCAGTACGCCCAGCACCTGACCACCTCCGTCATCGAGGAGCAGATCTACCCGCAGCTGCAGACCGGCTTCACAGACACACACGCGTACATCCGGGAGCTCACCCTCAAGTCCATGTTGGTGCTGGCACCCAAGATGGCCAATAAGACTCTCGTGTCGTCGGTGCTGAAACACCTGTCCAAGCTGCAGGTGGGTCAGGGGAGAGGGGAATGAGGGGGGGGGAGGGGCCGACACGAGTATTGTAAGAGGGAAGGCGGGTGCGAGATGGGGGTGGGTGGATGGTGGGTGGGTGGGGTGAGGGTGTATTGGAGACGGCAACCCATCTCCCGACATAGCCTCCCCGCTCCTCCCGCGTATCCACCTCGCTGCCATCCCTCCTCCCCCCCGTCCTGTACATCTGCCGCAGCACTCTTTCCTTGGCAGCAGCTTCACTCGCTCGTGGTTCGTCTCCCCCCCCCTCCCCGTGCCGTTCTCTCCGTGCAGGTGGATGAGGAGCCCTCCATCCGAGCCAACACCACCGTACTGCTGGGCAACATGGCCTCCTACCTGGGGGACTCCACCTGCCGCAGGGTGCTGCCCAACGCCTTCACGCGGGCCCTCAAGGACGCCTTTCCGCCCGCCAGGATAGCCGGCCTGCGGGCGCTGGCGGCCACCAAGCAGTACTACTCGCCGGGTGGGATGGGGCGGGGGTTCTTGGGGGGTTTCGGCTAGTTGGCTGCTAGGGTAATTCCTGGGCCTGTGGACCTAGGCCTGGCCGCGAGTCCCGAAAGCATGTTTATGCTTCGTGCGTTATTCAGCTCTCCCTGCTTTCCTCCCTAGCTGGGTTCAATTTGGTTCTATAGCCCCTTTGCCGCGCTGCGACTGGAGTACAGCCTTGCGTATGGCAACCTCACCTCCCCGCACACACTCTCTCATAGCTCAGCGCTTCTGCTCCCTCTTTCTCCTCTTCCCGCTACTACATCTCTGCAGAGGATGCGGCGGTGCGGCTGCTGCCTGCGGTGTGTCCCCTGGCCATGGACGCCATCCCCGAGGTGCGCCAGGCGTCACTGCTGTGCATGGACAGCTTCGTCATGCTGCTCAAGGAGGAGGAGGAGCAGCGGAGGACCAGGGAGGCAGCAGCGGCGGAAAGCGCCGGCGCAATGGGTGGCGCCGCCACTGGCGCCGGCACGGGGCCCGCCGCCGCCGGCACCGGCGGCGCAGCGTCGTATTTTGTCGGCCAGGCGCCTGCGGTGCTCGGGGCTACGAGCAGCATGCTGACGTGGGCGGTATCGGGGCTGATGAACACGGTGGGCGGAGCGACGCCCGCGGCACCGGGAGCTACGCCAGTACCGGCGGCGGCACCGGCACCGGCACCGGCGGCGACTGCCTCCGCCCTCAAACCTGTTAGTCCCGGGGGTTCAGCAGCGGCGCCGTCAGCAGCTCGGTCCGGGGCTACACCCTCAGCGACTGCGTCAGCAGCTGGTGGCGCTAAGGCCACGTCCGCTGGCGATGGCTGGGACGATGACGACGAGGCATTCGAGGTAGGGATTGACTTAACACGTGTGAAATAGCGTAGAAGGCATTGACATCCCGTTGCTGCTACCATGGCGGCGTTAGAAGCCCGTAAGCCTTGGGTCGAAAATGTCCTTCATGCCCGTTTCTCTCTCTTTTTCCCGCCACCACCTTTTAGACCACCACCACCACCACCACCACCTTTAGACCACCACCACCACCTTTGTTTCTTAACTCAAGATGACCACCCCCCGACAGGTGGATGAGGAGGAGCTGGCTGCCCGGACCCGCTTCGCAGCTAAGCCATCATCCACCGCCGCCACTGGCAGCACTGCTCGTGCGGCGGCACCCACCTCGCGAGCCCCTCCAGCTGCTGCTGCAGCAGCCCCGTCTGCGCCGCCCACCACCGCCACCACTGGCACTAACAGGACCGCCGGTGGTGGCGGACGGTTCGCGGCGCCTAATCCTGACGAGGTGCTCGGAGCATCCGGCGGCGGCGGCGGCGGTGGCGGTTGGGGCAACGACCTCGACGAGGATGAGCTGTGGGAGGACATGGACAACGGTGGTAAGGGCGCCAAGGCCAAGGCGGCACCGGCGCCAGCGCCGGCGCGAGCACCGGCGGCGCCAGCCGCCGCCGCATCGCGTCCCTCCGGGCCAGCAGGTACGGCAGCTGCTGCACGACGGCCGGCTGGCACGGCGGGAGCGGCGAGGGCGGCTGGCGAGAGTGCGGCGGCCAAGCCTAAGCTGGGAGCTATGAAGCTCGGCGCCACCAAGGTAAGCGGAGGTTCTACTTCCGCGCTTGGGGCGACAAAGAACAGCCTGGCAGATCTGGAGAATCCGGACAACTGGTAACGTGATGGTGAAATGATGGTGGATGGGCGTGACATGGAAATGAGGCGCGACGTGGGTTTGTTTGGGCACCAGCAGCAGCGGCGATAGGAGTGGGTTGTGCAATAGGTGCTGACCTGCGGTGTGGGTGCTGACCGGCTGTCGAGATTTTGCGTCCCTAAGTAATTATCCTTCTAAACTAGAAATGGCCTTTGGGCGTGTGGTGATAGATTAGGTCTTTGGCCCGGCAGCCTCAGACGACAGGTGCCTGCCGCGTGAACGGCATGACGACGGAGTTGAGTTTGCTTTGAGCGTGCACGTGCGCGCGGCTGGTGTGCACGTCTCAGCCAGGGCGGGAGGGGAGGGCCCGTGCGGTGCGGTGCGACGCGGTCTGGTGCTGTGGGTAGCAGAGCGAGGAGGATATGGTCCATAGTGGGGCTGGCATCCCATCTGGCACGAGCATGTTTTGGCTGACATGATTGCGCGGACTCGGTTTAATTGTGGCACTAGGACGTGTGATGTGGGTGTCGGATGTCTCGCAGCTGCGCAAAGCTGCGGAGACGTGAACAGGCCCCAGCTGCCAAGACGCCTCAGCAAACCAAGGCATTCGGTGCAGCGGTTGGGCTCTACTTAGCTGTGGGGTCTCAATCTCACGCTGTGCAGCTTTGTGGACGATGACGATGGACATGTTCGACTCGAGTAAAGGCGCATCAGGATGCTGCAGGGTGGGACAACTGCTGACGGCGGCAGGAAGCCGCCTTGGCAGCTCTTTCACAGAAGCAGTGTTCAAAGGTAACAGTCTCGTGGCCTCTTGATGAGGAAGGTCTCTCGAGTCCCATCGCGATGCTCATGGCTCGGAGCCTCTGGGCCACAGCTCGCAATGTCCCTAACCACAATAGTACCTCGTACATGTGTAATGCCGTCTAGTGCGGGAGGTAAATTATACCGGTCCACTGCACAATCCGCACCTTTACCAAGCCCCATACGGCTGACGCAATGTACCCGTCCATGTCTCACGCCGGGAGTGCGACGCACATGAGCATCGCAACAGGCAGCGTGTCCACAAGTAGTAAACAATCTTGAACACATCCTCGAGGAAAGAAATATTTGAATACACCGCTGACAAAACAGCATGTGCCACAGCATGATGGCTGAACCCGGCCCTGCCACGCAAGCTAACAATAACACACACACACACACACGCAGAGGCACATCTTCAACAATAGATATCTCCCGCACCGCGACAGACAGCACTATCCGCAACTTCCTCGAGACGTTCTCCGCTTCTCGCAGCATACCGCCACTTGTGGGTTTGCCTGCCTGGTCCTACGCGGCGGTCATCTCGCTGGACGACATCTTTCAACAGCTGTCCTGCGTCTCCGCCTTCGTCCGCCTCCGCTCCATTACCCCCTCACAACAACTGCAAGCTCAGTTCTATCGATCAAATGCTGTCCCGCTGTTCCCGCGGAGCCCTTCAAGGATCACTACACCTCACCTCCATCACTACAGTCCCCCGGCTAATCCCGCGAGCACAACCCACCTCAACATCTCCGCTCCCTTACGACACCTCCCCACAGTAACAGTACACACCACGCACATCCCTCCCTTCAAGTAATCACCGCAGGACATCAGCCGTGCCTCTGATGCCTCTGAAGTCGACCCGCTACAGGCCTACCCACAAGCCCGAAAGCCCCTGCTCATAACAAGAACGGTGGCGGCGGAAGCGGTGTTGCGACGCACAGCCCCAGTCCGACACCTAGTGCCGTCAGCATACTCTGCACAGCCGCACGTACGACAGGGTCGGAGCTACCGATGCACTCGCACAGCACGCCGTACAGCGCCGGCAGGTGTGGCTGCTCCTTTACACACAGCGACTTCCCCGTCAGCTGCAGCCCGGGCCCGGTCCCAGCCCCCGAGACCGACCCCGGCCCGGCAGTAGCGAACACGGTCGCCGCGTTACGGGGAGCCATGAAAGCGGACATGCGGGGTTCGCCCGTGTGGCCGGCGACTGCGCCGGCAGCACCGTCACCAAGACTCGTACGCGTGGGCGGGGTGACGGGCACGACAGGCACGGCGGCGCTGTTGCCGCTGCCGCCGCCGCCGCTGCTGCCGGTTGCGATGCCCATTGCTGACGATATCAGCGCACCCGTACTGCTGTACGTCCGCGAGAAGAACGACAATGAAGGGGTGGATCGACCCGTGGGCAAGGCAAGGCTGGAAAAGGACAGCTCCGGCCCCGCTGCCAAGCCCGGGGCGGCGCCGCCGCCGCCAGCGGCGGCCGCTGGGCTCACGAGGTCGACGCCGCTGCTGCTGCGCCGGGAAGCCGCCGGTGGGCTCTGCAGTACAGACCCCGGGCCCAGTCCGCTACCGGAGCCTCCGAGACTAGAAGTGGAGTGCAGAGCGGCAGCGGCGCCGGCGGCGGGCGCGGCGGCGGCAGCCGCCGCCGCTGCGCCGGCCGCCAGCGATGGCGGCGGCATGGCTGCGTTCGAGCGCACCGCCCGCACCGCGTCCAGCCAGAAACGGAGATGAGGACGGGACGGCAGCAGCGAATCCGACACAGCTGGAACCACGCGAAGTTGTTGAAGCAGCTCCAGGACGTGCAGCGCCTTGTCGTGCAACGCCGCCGGCATAACAGCTGACGTCACCGCGCGCGAAGATGCCGTTGTCAACTCCAGCGGCATGGCCTGAACATCCACTCCGACGCCGCCACCAGCGGCATTCGCTGCGGCAGCACCGGTGCCGCCGCTCACCACGGAGGAATCCCCGGCGGCTGTTGCGGCCGTACCCGACGGCGCACTGGCGCCTGGCCTGGCACGCTGCTCGGTTCGCGCGTAGTCATGAAGGACGGCCTCGCAGCGAGTTACGAAGACCGGCAACGCGAGTTGGGCCACCTGGGCACCGCAAGTGGGAGTGGGCACAGGGGAATGGGGCTTCAATCTCCTCCTGGGTACAGCTACCAGTTTCCGGGTCCTCTGCTCCACCTGAGCTGCTCGCGGCCCTCTCAGGCACACCCGCCTCCATCCAGGCCTCCGGCACCGCGCACGAAAACCCTCACTATGGAGACTTGCACCCACAACCCCAACACAGTCCCCCGCACAGTCGCTCCACTGGCACCTCCCCGCTCGTGCACCCGTTCTCACCCACCTCCAATAGGGACCTAGCCGCCGGCACCGGCGGGTGCGCCAGGTCGCGACCCTCCGGCTCGGGCACGGGCGCGTCCTGTCCCCGGCTGCACAGCACGTAGAGCTTGTTCAGGCACACGTGGCTGAGGCGGCTGGTGGGCGGCAAGCAGGACTCGTCGTAGGGCCGGTCGCTGGTGGCGATGCCGGCTGCTGAGGGCGCTGCGACGGAGGCGGCCCCCGCGTCCAACACCTCAATCAGTGCTCGCCGCATCTGCATCAGGTGGGGTAGGGCCGGGGGCGGGCCGAGGGCGGGCGGGGCGGGGAGACGTGGTGGTGTGTCAAGAAACACACTTCCCCGAAATAGCCACAACCGAAACACGTTTAACAAGGAACGCCCAGAGCGCCCAGAGCACTTCAACTCGCAGCCGCACACGGTTACGTGTCACAATACCAACACACGGCAGTGAAGGACAATCCGGAATATCCAAATTCCGGAGCTCACCAAATTATACAACGGCTTTGAATTTCGGGGTTAGCTACACATTTCCATGCCTGGACACAATAGCAGACACCCGGGGTTCACCAACGCGCATGTACATACATGCACACAGACACATACAAGAGCACACACGCACATACACACAAACACACCTCGACTGGTGCGTGCTGACAAGAGCTCAGGACCGTTTCGGAGAGGCAGTCCAGTACTGCAGTCGTAATCTCCAGATCCGCCGCGACTTGCTCCAGAGAGGGGGCCGGCATTGCTGTGGCCGCAGCAGCGGCAGCGGCAGCGCCGGTGGACTGCGGTGGCAGCGGCGGCTCGGCGGAGGCGTTCATGTTGCGGAAGTACGCCGCGCCGGCACCGCTGCTGCTGCTGCCGCCGCCACCACCGGTGGCAGCAGCAGCTAACGAGAGTGCGTGCTGCACCTCCGGCGGGGGCTGTAGCAGTGGCGGCAGGTTGGCGGCGAGGAAGAACATCTGGAAGGCCCGCGCCAGAGCGGGCCAGGTGGACTGCGGCACCAGCACCTGACCGTGACCCTGACCCTGGCTGTGCCCCTGAGGTTGGTGAACGGAGGGAGGTGAAAGTGGCGGGAACGAGGGGTGAAGGGCGCGATGAACAGCAGTCTTGATCACGTGCCCGTACGATCCGTAGGGACACCACGCCCTCTCCGCCGTGTGCCGTCCCCGGCAGCAGCTAGATCTGCTCGTGGGCAGCTCGTAGTAGTTGCCTGGGTCCCTTCCCCCCCACACACAGACACACACATAGTCACCACCTCGCTGCAAAGGGATGGTCGGGATGGTATCAGAAACTCCGTCATCCCCCAAAGCTCTACCCCTGCGGGCCACGATACCTGAGCGCCAGAGCGCTCCCCCTTGACCAGCTCCCCCTAGTTCACCCAGCCGTCTATGTAATATATAATATACAATACACAATATTATGTGTGTGTCTGTTTGTGTGCCTCCATGCCGCAACAAAAACCCCAATCCTGAGGCCAAGTCCCGATCCCGGCCCCGGCCCCGGAGTCCACCTGATGGCTGCATATGTTGATGGACGGCAGCCCCGACTGCACCACCGTCATCAGCCCTCGTGCCGCCGCCCGCCACAGCTCCTCCAGGGCCGGGCCCTCCGCGGGGTCCCCGGGCCCCGGGTAGAGCTGCAGCTGCGGAGTGAAAGAGCTCTGGGGCGGCTGCTGAGAGGTGGAGGGGGCGCTCCCGGACTGCGGCAGTGGCAGCAGGTGGCGACACGCCATGCACTCCGACATGGCCCCCACCAGGAGCGGGAAGGTCACCACACGGACCTGCGGGACATTGGGGTGGGGTGCGGGGAGCCGGGGGTGGGTGATACCAGGGTGATGAGGGTGATACATTCAAGGGTGATTGCTCAGCTCCTGGGTTTTTCAGCTCTCATTCACACACCCACACAACGACACAGTCGCATCACGAGAACAGAAAAGTACCGATTGGCGCATGTAAGATCCCGTGATATGGCCCCCCCCAAACACACACACATACCCCTACCTGCCACGACACATGGTCCCGGTACCAAGTCGCCAGCAGCTCCACCACTCGCGCCATCCACACGGGGGACATAGCCCGGGCCTCCACCACCTCGCCGGTGGCTGCGAACGCCAACCAGGAGCTGCTACTGCTGACAGCACCCGGCAAGCTACCTGCCCCTGCTACTGCCCCTACCGGGTTGTGGATGGAGGGCTCCCGGCTGCTGGTGGCGGTGGCGGTGGCGGTGGCGACGCTGATGTGGGAGGACGTGGGGTCGGGGGGGTTGGAGGGACCCGCGGTGGGCCCCGTGGAGGTCGTAGTCGGGGGGTGGGGTGCTGCTGCTGCTGCTGGTGGTGTTGGTGTTAATGTCGTCGTTGCAGGCCCGTCCGCACCGGTGGTTGATGCGGACCCAGGGACTGGGCCGCAGGTCTTACGTTGCTGAGACAAGTGCAAGCGGGGGAATGGTTGCGATGGGGGGACGGGGGGAGGATCACCAAGCGAGGGGTGCGGTCCGGGAGTGTGCGTGTGTGTGGTGGGGGGGAAGGGGTGGCGGTGGTGGGTGTGGCAACAGGGGGTTTGCATTGTGAGAGGCTCCCGGGGGCTGTGAGGTGCACCAAGAGTTGGATTAGGTTGGGATGGGGGCGGGGCAGGGCGGGGCGGGGCGGGGCGCGGCCGACACCGGCGCACGCGGCCCAGGCCCTCTGGCTCCCGGTTAAGGTGCGCCACCTCACACCGGCAAGCAAAGAGACATGCACATGTCCATGCATGTCCACACCTGCTGCAATGCCGCCGCCTGCTGAGCGTATTGCCGCAGAGCCAGCGTGCTGAACGGACGTAGCATGTTGCACAGCACGTTCAGCACGGCCGGCCACACGCCCGCTGCGGCGGCTGCGGGCGGCAGCGCCGCTAGGGCCGCCAGCACGGCCTTCTGAATGGGCCCTATGGTGGTGAAGTGAATGGATGACGTGTCGTCGCAACCCACGGGGTACCGGGCGAAACGGTCTAGCCATCGTAAGATGAGCAGAAGCTGTTCCGGGTCGGGGCTGGGGGCGCCGCCATCGCCGTTGGCAGTAGCCGCGGGGCCTCCCCCTCCGGCGGCAGCGGCTGTAGCGGCGGGTGTCCCGGTGGCCGCCGGCCGTGGACCGCGCAACAGCAGGAGCTGGGCGGAGAGCGTGGTGATGCAGGTGAGGAGCTCGGCCCGGGCTTGTAGCGGTGCGGAGGTGTTGGGTGCGGCCATTGCGTTGACGCCTGAGCGCAAGCGCAGCACAGGGCAGGGCGAGGGGGTTAAAGAGAAGCCTGCGGGTACGCGCCCACTGCCCGCTACGCGCCTACCTCTATCCAGCGCCGCGAGCGTCTGCTGCCACATGGTTTTAGTAACCAGCGGCCCCGACCCATGGGTCTGCAGCACCGTGGTGAGCAGGCTGGTGGAGGCCAGGCACAGCGCCTTTCGCCCCGTGGACAGCAGCTCCCCTAGCAGCTGTTGAGGCGGCAGCGGGCGGGGGGGGATGGAAAGCGGGAGGATGGAACGACAGCTGAATGGGGGGGGGGGAAAGAGGTAGCGACTGCTTTTCAGCCAACTGGGGAGCTGCGGCATACGAGGGTGGGTGCACAGAGCCCATCAGTGGACGTCTGCGGGCTAACAGTCGGTCGGGGTCGGGGCCGGGGGGATGTGGAGCAGAAATTAACACGACCGTAGTCATCATCATCACCACCACCACCACCACCACATGGATTGGGGGGGTGTTGATGGGAGCTCGGGGCCCTCAGCCCCGTCAGCCGCCCCCTCCAACCCCCCCAAGGATAGCACCCGTGATAAAGCGCCCGCCCGGGCCCCCTTGCCTCCCGCCCCGTGCCCACCTGCATGAGCTGCTCCCAGGCCTGGGCCCACACGTCCAGTCCGCTGAGCACCGCCATGTAGGACCGCACCACCTTGGCCGCCCCGCCCAGTGCCAGCACCAGCGTCTCGTCCCACTGCTTTTGTTCGCTGTTGCGGCTGTGGTGCACCAACATCACCACGGACCGCCCGCCTGAACAATAGAGACGCAGGTGAAGAGCGGCAGCTTACGGCGGGAAGAAATATATAGATGCATGTATGTATGTATATTGTTACAGGGTGGTTAAGCTTCACCAGCGGCCCCCTTTCCCTTGGAGGCAGTTCCCTGCTCTCCCCTGCGAGAGGGGCACCCTAATCCGTTCACCACATCCGACATCAGAATGTATTCGTTGGGTTCAGCAACTCACCACCAGCATCCAACCAAATCTAGCGGATCAACGGCGCCTCAACTTAGTTCCTGGTCAGCTCGCAAGTATGTATGTATGCGTGTGAATAGGACGCGAGAAGGAACCCCGAATGCGGACTTCCAGACGCCCCCGGGGAAAGGGTTTAAGAGGGGTAAGAGGGGGAAAGGCAATCCAGGAGGGGACCGACATCCTGCAGCCGCCAGCCACCAGAGTACAGCACCACACGCTCGGCCTCTAATGGCCCCTAATGGTGCTTTTCTCCTAACAGCTCCTCTTCCCCCCTTCCCCCAAACAGGGGCCCAAGTCATCCCCTCCCTCCAGCAACGCACCTTTTTCCTTCCCCAACTCCACCGCCGCCGCCTCCTCGACGGAGCTGGTGGCGGACAGGCGGTGGATGGTGAGCAGCAGGTCGAACAGCAGGGACCAGAACAGCTGGTGCCAGGTGGCGGAGGGGAACTTGCCGCCGTGACTGCCCACAGCAAGAAACAACGTCCGCACGGCGGCGTTGCGAGCCTGTAGAAATGCGTGCATGGGTACGTGCAAGGGAGCAGGGAGAGGTTGGCGCAGGAGGTGATCACAGGACAGGACAGGACAGGTCGGTCAGCAGCCCAATACGAGGGACGAGGCCCCGGGCAGTAATGACCGGCTTTGAGGGCACCACCACCACAGCAGCTTTGCGGAGGAGAGGGAGCGGGAGAGGGGGTTGGCGGCAGCTCAAAAAGGAGCGGGATGCGCGCGTGAGAAGCTTCCATGCGTGTGCGTGTTCGCGCGGGGCTGAGCGAAGCCGTGCCGTGCTGTGGCGAGGGCCATTGGCCAGGGGGGTTGCGAAGGCGAGTTTACATGCACACGCGCATACACACGTTAACGTGTCAGGGAAGGGGGAAAAGGGGGCGAAGGGGGGAAGGTGGCGAAGGGGGGCAGGCGGCCACCTAGCTGGGTTATACAAGCCGGAACCCCAAAGGGCTAAAAGAGGGGGGAGGGGGGTTGTCAGTCGCAATAGAAGTCGTAGTAGCAAGCAGGGTGACGGGGGAAGGCGGGTGGCCCAGGCGAGCTCAGTGCGCCGGCCCCGGCCCCGGCCACCGCCCCGGCACACCCGCCCACCCGCCGGCTCACCTCCGGCCGGGGGTCCACTGACAGGGTCTTTAGGGAGCGGAACGCAATCATCAACATGGCGATGCTTTCCGCCTCGTCCAGGTCATGTAGCGGGTAGCTGCCCCCGCCGGCCGGCACCAAGGCCGCTGATGCCCCCGTGCCTGGACCCGAGCCCCCGCCCGCAGCTCCCACCGGCTGCTGCGACTGCCCCTGCGTCTGTGGCTGCTGTGGTGGTTGCGGTGGTGGTTGCAGCTGGGCCCAGGGCGATCTGTCGGGTGAGGACGCGGAGGGCAGCGAGGGCACTCCCCGGGCGAAGGACAGCGCGGCGGCAAACGCGGGGGACATCTGCTTCTCCCCGGCGGCCCCGGACATCGTGTCGCCGCCGAACAGCAGGGAGGACGAGCCGCCGCCGAAGGGGCCCGCGGGGGGGGAGGGCGACAACGCCTGCGGCACTGCCGCTGCCGCCGAGGGGGTGGAGGCCGCAGCCGGTGGTGTGTCCGTGGTGGCTGTTGGCCGCTGTTGGTTTTGTTTGGTGTGCTGCTGGCTGTGGTGGTTGGGTTGGTGTGCTGCTGCAGCCGCCGCCGCCGCCGCCGCCTTGGAGAAGGTGCCTCTGCTGCGAGCCAGGTGGTCGGTGACGTTCCACAGCATGGTGATGGCGGAGAGGGAGACGTTCAGGACAGTGTCCTGGGGGCCGGGTGGGGGAGTGTGGGAGGTGCGGGAGGTGGGGAGCAGCGGGCGCGAGGTTGGGTCGTTAGGTGGAGGGGGTTGGGGTGGCGGACTGCGGACTGCGGACTGCGGGTCGGGTCGGGTCGGGTTTGTGCGGGCGGGCGGTCCTAAGGAGCTGTCAGTGTGGTGTGGTGTGGTGTGAGGTGTGTGCTGTCAGGTCGCCTGATGCTGTGCGGTGTTGGCCGCCCACGGTGAGAGCTTGTTGAACGGGAGAACACAGCGGGCCCCTAACCAGCGCGGGGACAGCTCGCTCCTTCTTCTTCTGCTGTCTGTCTGTCTATCATTCTCGTGCTGTCTGTCTGTCTCACACGAAGACCCACACTTCCATACATACCTAGACACCTTGTTACTCTCCCCTCCCTTTGCTCACACGCGGGTCTGTGATGGAAGTAATGAACCGCAGTACGCCCTTCGTTCAGCTTCACGGCGGCATCGCGGCGGCATGGCAGCAAGCAGGGCCCCTGTACACATCATTGCGACGGCCCCGCCCCTCCCCCCGGCAGTATGTCCCCTTCTCCCCTCCTTTTTTTACCCATTTCCAGCACCTGCGTGGCGAACTTGGCAATGACCTCCAGTGCCTTGGCCACATGCTCCTTAGGCAGCGAGCTGGACAGGTAGTCGGTGGCCAGCAGCTCAACAACCTGCGGGAGGAGGGGCAGGTGGGTTTGGAGGTTGCGTGTGGGAGGTGGAGGCATATCCCGTTTTTAGCGTTGACTGGTGGTGGCTGTAGCGCAGGGGCCCGGGGTGGGGGCTGAGGATGCCTGAGAATCATCCCCCCGATGACACCGATGATGGCGATTATGATGGTGGCGCAAAACCCGGGACAATCAACCGCCGACGTTCCAAGCAAGAAGTGTGTTTGGACGAGGGGTTATCCCGGGAAGGCGTGAGCCTAACCGCCCTAACCGATAACGAAACACGTGGAGCCTCTTAAGGAGCACCTGAGGCCTTGACCCACGGGTCGTCGTGGGGGAAGGGAAGGGGGATGTGAATGCGGCTGACGGACGGCAACCCACGGGATGGCGGGGGTTGGGGGGGAGAGGCACCTGTCGGGGACAGACCATCAAACAGACCAACACACGCTAGTCGCGTCCCTTCCCCCATCCCCGCGCCTGTGACTTAAACACAGCTTTCAATTACCTGGAAGCCCAGCCGCACATCCGCTGGGCCCTGTCCCGCACGGGGTACGGCGTCCAGCAGACGTAGCAATGGCACCCAGCCCCGGGTCAGGCCGTCGCCATGGTGCTGCAGTACATGCAGCGCGATGCGCAGCAGTCCATGTCGTACATCTGGCGAGCGGCCTCCCTCCCGGTACAGCGAATCTAGAGCCACCAGCAGCATGTGCTGCACGTCCTCACGCTGCGCCGACTGCTGCACACCGCGGTTGGCAACGAGGGGGTTGGCAGTGGTGGCGGCGGCGGCGGCGGTGGCGGCATTGAGGCTGTGAGCGAAGGGGGAGGTGGAGGTGCCGGCGGCGGAGGTGGAGGCCGGGTTGACGGCGGGGCTGGTGGTAAGGGACGACGGCGGCGGGTGCGGTAGTCCCGCGGGGAGCGGCGTGTGGAGGGAGGACAAGTCCGTGGAGGGACGCGCGGAGCCGCCGCTGCCGCTAACGCGCCGCCCTGGCGGCGGCGGCGGTAGCGGGGACGCTGTCGTCGTCGCCGTCGACGTGACGACCGGCGCGCCGTGGGCGGTGTAGCCGCTGCCCGCGCTGAACCCGCGGCCTGCGGACGGGTGCACAGGCACTTGCGGGCTGGACAACGGTGTCGTAGCCGCCATCATCATTCCGGCAGCTGCCGTACCGGCTCCGAAACCCGCGTCTCTCGACGTCCGGCGCGACCCCGGAGAGCCAGCGGCGACACCAGCGCCACCACCCGGCGACGCCGCGGCAACGGCGGCGGCAGCGGCGCCACCCGGCGACTGTCCGTACGACGGAAAGCTGGTCATCAGCGTTCTCCGGGTGGCCCCGGCGGCTGCGTACGACGGCAGGAAAGCGTCTTCCAACGCGGGCAGTGGCGCCGTGAATTTGTCAGGCACGTGCAAGTCGGGGTTGAGGGCGCCGGTGATGGTGCGGTCCAGGGCGTCTACCGCAGCTGCGCGAACCTGCGGAGCGGGCGAGCGGGCGAGTGAGGGGTCACCACATCCTCACGTCCCTCCGGACACGACAAGACAGTAGACAAGACTCACCATGTCGCATGAGAGCGGCCCTGTCGAAGGCCCACAATTGCGATTAAGACATGGGGGGTCAAAACAGCGGGGTCTTCTCTCTCTGTGTGAGGTGTGTGTTCGGAGTGCGGGTGGCGGCAGAGAGGCCGAGACACCGGCTCCGCTCCATACCGCAGATGCCCCTCTGCATCCATATTCCAACATTCCGCTTCTCTTCCTCTGCGCAGTACCCCCCTTCCTCCCCCTCCCCTGTCCTCCCCTCCCCGTCCTCCTCCGCACCTGGACGTTGCTGCTGGCCAGGACCTCCAGCACATGCGCCAGGAAGATTCCCCACAAATCCTGAACTCGCCACAAGTTGTGGAGAAGCGTGTCGACCATGCGGTTGAGTGCGCACAACCGCACAGGGCCAGGAGCCGCAGCGGCGGCCGCGACGGGGCTCAACGGTCCACCGCCGCCGCCGCCTGCTGCACCAGCGGAAGCTGCAGCGGCAGTAGCCGCCGCGGGGGCAGCCGAAGTCGCCGACGATGCAGGTCCCATGGAACCGCCGTTCGGCAGGAGGGGCGCAGGCGCTGACGTGGCAGCTGCTGCGGCCGCGGTGCCGCCGCCGGCCAGGAGCCCCAGCCCAGCCAGTGTACGGTGGGATATGTCGGCGAGCGCAGACAGCAACGACACCACCGCCTCTGGGGACATGTGGTGGCTGTTCTCAAACAACTGGTCGGCGGCGGAGGCCAGGATGCGGAGCTCGCGCTGAGCAGTAGTGGAGCTGTCGTCGGGCCCACCGTCGCCAGCAGCTGCTGCTGCTGCTGCCGCCGCCGCCGCGGCGGCGGCAGAGGCAGCGGTAGCGGCTGCGGCAGCTGCCGCTGCCGACCCGCCAGCGCCGGTGACCCCGCCGCCTGCCGCCGTCCCAGCCGCTCCTGATCCCGCTCCGGACATCATCGCTGACCCCATGGGCTGCAGGCCGACGACAATTTCCCCCTCGCCACCCGTCTCCTGGCCGGGTGAAGCACCGCGGTGTGTGTGTATTTGTATGTGTGTATTTGTATGTGTGTATCGTGTGTGTATTTGCGTGTGTGCAGCACAAGGGGGGGATACTTCAGCTCAATCCAAGGGGGCGGCCCGCAGGACCTCAACCTCACTGCCCTCGGGACCCCGTAACGGCCTCAGGCTCTTCCTTGGACGACCTGCCGCACATGTATATGTACATGGGGCCCCACATAGGCCGGCTGCATACGAATAAGGCCCACACCTCACCTCACCTCACCTCACCACACCTCACCACACTAGGTTGTTGGTCAGCTTAATACATCACGATATCACACACGTGCCCATGACGCAGCCAGCCAGCCAGCCAGCCAGCCAGCCAGCCAGCCAGCTACGATCCCAACCTCTCCCTCCCTCCCCCCCTGGCTTACCAGCAGGTACGCCGCCGTGGTGGTGTGCGGGGAGGCAAGGATGCGGTCCAGTGCGTTCACCGCATCCACCACGTACAGCCACCCGCAGCTGCCCAGACCATCCGCCAGGCGGTGAGCCAGGTTAAACAGGGACCGCAGCGCCGCGATGTTGCGAGGGGTCAGCACCACGCGGACGGAGGAGGCCGAGCGCTCCACCAGCAGAGCGGTCAGGAAGCCGGGGGCAGGACGAGACCCGCCGCTGGCGCCGCCGCCGCCGCCAGCAGCAGCGACGACGGCGGATGATCCTGTCGAGACGGGAGGTGGTGTTGCTGCGACACTTGCGAGGCGGCGCGCTGAGCTGCAGCCGGGGAGGTGGGGACCCGGAGGGGAGGGGTTATCAGGGGCCTAGTAGCCACAGGAGGAGGCGATAGGGGCCCCGAGGAATAGGTCGCCATCCCGACACCACCACGGGGGGTTGTTTCTCAGATGCACACAGGTCGCAGGACATCAGGACTAATATACATACAATGATGAAAGTGATATACGTACATACATACGAGGTGGGGGTTGGAGTGCAGGAGTGGCGCAAGGAGGGGAGGGGAAATATGGAGGAACCTGATCGCCGCGTTATCGGAAGGCTTTGGGGACTAAGGCAAAAAACGGTTCTGGGTTGTAGAGAAGAAAGAGGAAAGGAGGAGCTCCTGAAAAGGTGATTGCGTTGGGAGGGGGACGCGTGAGGGTTTCGACGCTGTTTCGGTTAGTTCGGTATCAACTAACCGAAACCGCGGGAGGTGCCCAGGAGCCGGGTTCACTCCCGACAACGCAGAATGTGGTCGGGATTAGATGATGTGTACGGAAAACAAAAACACATCATGCCACCTCACCCGCCCCTGCTATGGCCGCCCCTCCACAAACCCCCGTGCGCTCCCCCTTCGGCCCTCCGCACGTTCCCCGTGTCTGTATACATACACACATACACGAACACACACATACACGCCACCCACCCGCCGACGCTCCGGTCATCAGACAACAAGCCGCCAGCGCCAGCACCACCGCCCGCCGTGGACACCGCCAGTGCCGCCACGTCATCCTCCCCCGGCGGCAGCAGCGTGTGGGCGCACAGCGCATGCAGCAGCGCGTCACGGGCGTCCATAACCCCCAGTGCGCCCGCGCTGTAGGTCATGCCCTGCAGAGGACACGGGGGAGGGGGGTTGAGGGGGGGGGGGAGAAGGGGGAGGCACGGGGCAACACTCCATCATATGGAAGTGGGACGCAGGTGACACAATGGTGTTAGGACCGCACTCGCACATGTGGTTGCCCCGTGAGAGACACCGACACCCAGCTAGGTGCACTTCCTGGCCGCCCCCCCCCCC